GAGGTGGGGCCTTGGGGGAATAATGAGGCTTAGATTCAGTCATAACTATTAGACTCTCATGATGGAATTAGCATCTTTACTCTAAGAGAAATCTCTCTCTCTCTTTCTCTACCCTCATGGAAGCAAACCATAACAAGGTGGCTGTCTATAAGCCAAGAAGCAGGATTAGAAACCATGTCTGCTGACAACTTGATCTTGAACTTCCCAGGTCTCCGAAATATGAGAAATAAATGTCTGTTGTTTAAACTTCCCAGCCTATGATATATTGTTATAGCAGCCCAAGAAGACAAAGCTATTGACAGCTATGTAATATCATCAGGCTATTCGTCAATTTAAAATGAAATTTGCAGGTCAAAAATAAAGCCCATGCTGTAGGCACCATAAATTCATATTTTTCCTCAATTCTATTTAATAAAGTTAATATATTTTGTGATTTTAAAAATGTATTTTTCACAATTTTAAGTGTTCCTCTAGAGCAGGGTTTTTCAACTTTGGCACTTTAGATCAGATCATTCTTTATTTTCAGGGGCTGTCCTTTGCATTGTAGCTTCCCTGGACTCTACTCACTAAATGGCCATGGTAACCCCACCCCCCAGGCATGTCAGTCAAAAATGTGTTAAATATCGCCAAATGAGAATCACAGCTCTAGAATCTAATGTATAGGTACCTCCTGAAATAATTACATTACCTGCACATCTTTTTGATTCCTTTACATTGAGTTTAACTAAAAGACAGCAAACACAGTGTTTTGTTTCTACAACAAAGGCAGTGAAATTTTATATGCATTTCCGAGAAGGATGGCAGGAATGGATACATAAGAAAAATGACAGGAATGGACAGGTAAGAAGAATGACAAGAAGGATGAACTTAGCATAGAAAGGGTGGAAAATTCTGACTGAAGAGTTTCATACAGATAGAAATGTGAAGGCTATGGAGTGCTTGGCCCACCTACTATATTCAACAATTATCGTAGAAGTCTAAACTTATCTACTTCTTTTTTCTTTCCTGTAGATAGAACTTTTCATTTTGGGGAAAGTATGGGTGCTAAGCCTACTCATCTCTGAGAAAAAGTATCTGCTGATAAATAGCTATTTGGAGTAATCCCTGCTTGAGTTTGTAATCTCATTTTAGTGAATTGCATTATTATTCAGGGAAATAAATATAAACATATGCAAAAACCTAACAGTTTCTCACAATTTGATAAACTGAAACATCAATTAAAAAATAAAGCAAGCAAAATCCCAACTCTATGCATTACAAAGGGATACTTTTGAGTCTTTTATAAAAATACCTTAACCTGATTTCATGAGTAATGAAGTACAGATTCCTGTATCTAGACCCTATTTCTTCAAGAGGCAGAAGGCTCAAGGCAGAATGGCCAAGATATCAATGTGGTTTGTTCCTGCGTACCTTCATGTTCCACTCAGCTTCTGTTGATTGGTCCTGACTGTGAAGATCAGTTACAAAGGGTTGGTTTCATTGGCTTTTCATCTGGTAATAAAAAAGACTAATACTACAGTGGAATATTTTTAATGCTAGACCAATCACCAACCAGAAGCTTTTGCTCTATCTTGGGAGCACAATTTAACCCATGGAATAGGGATAACCCACCATCCCAGTTTGCCCGGGATTTTCCTGGTTTTACTACTACAAGTCCCACATCCCAAGAAACCCCTAGGCCCTGGGCAAAAGTGGAGAGTGGGTCCCTCTATCTGAGTTGAGTTTTTGACAGAACATTTACTGAAGTTAACTTTTAAAAAGTATTTTCCAAGAGTTTGAAATACAAGGTCAAGAATAGTCTCAAAATCTACCTTTAAAGAAAAAATCCTCATAACAATCAAGTGGCACTTGGCATTTGGAACATGCATTTAACTAGCCTGTATGACTTCCATGTATTTGCTGCTACATTTGGGAAGATGAGCATTTCCAAGAGCAAGAGAACAATCTGTCTCAGAGCCTTTCACTGAAGCAAGGACACACTGCCAACTTGAAAGGAAATAAAGGCCACACTTTGTCTATGGGGGGATTCTGCAATTATTCCCCAGAAAATTTAATTCAAACAGGTATTGAGATCTGAAACATGGAGATACCCACAAATTAGAAGACATTTGGTTTTTCAAAAGAAAAGAAACCCAGGCCACAGAGAACTCCCCCAAAGCAGCAATAGTGCTTCCACTTTATGTTAATAACTCTATTCCTATGAGCATGTTTTGAAAGTCAATGCTATGAATGAAATTTCTTGAGATCTTCTTTATATGAAATATGCATATTAGACATTTTGAAAATTAAAAATTATCTTCAAGGAAGTAAATTTTATTTAAAAAATAGAATGCATGTGTAAAATGTGCAAATCAATGCTTTACAATTAAACTCAATGTAAAGGAATAAATCAGTGTGCAACTTTGCTTTTAGAATTATGAGTTATACAAATATGCCAGTCAACTAGTGTATTAATGATCCCTTTAGAAAATGTAATGTTACTTAATTTTATCACCCCCAAATATGCCTCTTTAAAATATCACCATCTTAATATAAAATGATTTAGAGAAATCTCTATTGGAAAATGTTATCTTATTTTTTCAAGCAATTTAAGAATCTTCTCAACTTATAAAACTAATGATAACCTTCAGAATATTTATTACATGTTCATTATAGGATATACTTATAGCTATACTTGAGCCTATCTACTGCAGGAGAAAGATTTCTTTGATTTGACCTGTTATTAGGGTCCCAAATCAACTTGTAACCAAAGGAAGTGTTATTTCATTTGAACAGGAACTTGATTTTATAACAGAATAGAGACACTTGTCACCACAAGTCATAAAACTGAATAAAATTAGTCTTGACTCTATTTGCTTTTTAATCACCAGGTTTCAAATAAGCTCCCCTTTGTCACTATACTTAACATATCCATTGTCAAAAGGTATGACCAAGGTGAACAGAAATAGTTAAGCCCCAAAAGTTTAAGGGAATTCTGAGTCATGATTGAAGCTCAAGTACTGTTTTTCAAATTCTATTGGTATCTGCCAATAGTTCAAAATATAGATGTAAATCTTAGGAGTCACCAACTTTACCTTGTTTGGCACTTCCCTTGTAAGACCCTCATTTCAAATGTAAGGGCCTTAAGATAAAAGCTTTGAATTTCAGGTAGTGTTGCAATTTCTTTCTAATAATGTAACTGCAGAGTTCTTACACAGTCCATATCTAATTTTGGCTACTGCAGGTTAATCTTGCAAGATTTTGAAATTAGTATATTCTGTGAAGTATTCAATAACTATATGACTAGTGTCCACCCTAATACATAGGTAATGAGCACATCTTGATTCTTATCTCTCAGGCCCCAGTTACACAGAATATTATAATCAGAAATGTCAGAGATACCCAGTGTCATACCACTGGTTTCAATTAACTGCATGTGCATTACATAAAATGTGGCCTACAGCCAATAGATGGATTAGAAAGCAATAAAAGCTAGAGGAGCTGAAGTTGAACCCAAATACACACACTGAAAATATGGCATCTTTTAAAAAAACAAAAGTGTACCAAGATTGAAACGTGATATCAGGGAAAGTGATTGGAAACCATCCAGGTCCTGAAATGGTTTATGGTTTAGGCATATTTTTTTTTTTCTTAATTGGCCACCAACTCTTCACTGTGGTCTCCTTTCCTAGTTAAATACTGGACTTCAGAAATGATGTAACTACAGGAAGGCTTCAGTGGTCACTGGAGACAAAAGGACCAAATCTGTAAACTCAGGCTGACAAATGACTACCCCAGACAAACTGAAATATCTGGTCCAGCTGTTTTGCATATGTTTGACACTTGCTGCCTTTGAGATTAAAAATATGACTTTCTGCCCCCACAAAGTTCAAGTTAAAAATGCCTTTTAAAAAATAGAGCACCAGAATGCCTTCATACTATGTATAAAAGCTGAATCAAGCACACGGTGAGGGGAAAAATTGATTCCCATTGATAGGCAAACCAAACCATCTGAAAATAGGGTTTATCATGGAAACAGCAAGTCAGTGGTACCAAATTCCCAGTAGCTTTACAATTTTGGAGGCAAGTCTTATTTTGCCACCAGTATTGGAAGAAACAAAATAATATACTGGTTTTCTATATTCTACATAATTTAAAATAAGTTATTTTCTAAACAAAAAGCTTGGTGCCATCTTAAAAATGTCTTTAAAAGCTATTTAAATCCAGCATTGTAAAACCTTTCTGCATCAAATTTGTAGTTACATTATTTTAAGGACACCCACAATATGAATGCTTTATATTTATTCCTTAGATAGAGAAAAATAATCTTACTTTTTTTCCCCCAGAAATTATCTGATTGAATTATCTTGTGAAGAGACATATTTTGATTTGGTATAAGAATTGCTATTTTTTGTGTTTATACAATAAGACCTTTTCAGATTTTACTATATTAATGTAACAAAGAAAAAAGAACATAAAATATCATCTTGGAACTTAAAACAGAATGCTATATTTTCAATTAGATTGAACTTTTTCGTTTACCTTGAAATAATGATGACATAAGACAATAGCCTTATAACCATGACAGTAACTCTATTGTATCAGTGATCTTCATTTTAGCCCCTTGTCATTTTATCACACCACTTGTTTTCATGGAAAATTTAATAAAGATATTTTTAATCTGTAAAGGAATGAGACTGGTATTTCAAAGGTATTTAAGGTTTCCCATCTGGCATTTTCTTTCTCATAACCTTATTTCCACATTGTAAAATGTGTAAGTAAACTTTGCATCTCTATTTTATACATATATATATGTATGTATGTATGTGTATGTGTATGTGTAAATAGATATGTACATATATATATTCTACATATATGCATGTATATAAATTCTAAGACTATACCAACTAGATAATGCCTCTGAAGAAGGTTCCTTAAACAATATAAAAATGGAGTCTTCAGAAGCAAACAACAAAACAACCTTATACAACCAACTGCTGTTTAAAATGCTTATAAACACGGTCAGTTAACCATTTATTGAATACCTGTTTACGGTTTTGGAATATACAAGATTATGGAAAATATAAGACAATACCTCATAAAAACTGTGATGAAGGTGATGGCTGATGATTTAAAAATAAACCTCCATATTATAAAAAATCATGTAAACTTACCCCTGGAAACAAAAAAAAGGTTTAATATTAAAATTAGAGTTCTCTTTTTAATAATTTTCTTTGAGTAAAGAAATAATGTTCAAACTTCTCTTTTATATTGTTACTGTCCTGCAAGCAGATCTTTTCTTCACAATGTCAATCACAATGCAAGTATGATAAGTCTTTGGAAGGATGGGTATGAAGGTTTAAAGATAGGCTTTTTCATTGAATTCCTGAATTTATATACTGTGGGACTGGCCATGAGACACTATAAAATGTAAAGATAGTTTGTAGTTTAGACAGTTTCAACGCTATTATTTTCAGGCACAAAAACCATATAATTTTGTACAAAACTTTGATTTTTTTATTTGCGAAATTAAAAATATGGTATAATATATATATATATATATAAACTTCTATTCCTCTATAAATATAGATGATTTTGTGATAGTGAACAGAATAAATGCATACCAAATTCAAACACCATTGTCATTTTAGGGTATGACAGACATAAATTTAGGTCCTAAGTACCGGCATTTTGATAAACTCTTAAAGTTTACAATACAATCAGGAGGATTGCTTGTCTCATCTTTTCCACAGAGAACTAAAGTGAATATTTTAAATGGCTTTGAAAGATTTACATTTGATACATTTCTGTAAATCCAAAAAGGAGCATACAGGATTTAATGCAGCAGACCTGCACAGTTTCCCTTTAGCATGCATGCCCATATTTTGTTAATTTCAGGAGCTAATCCCATCAATTATTCCACCTCCTTTACCTCTGGGACTCTTACCAGGTTGTCATTAATGATGTGGATGGTTCCTCCCTCAGAATGTGTTGCTGAATAAGAATCATAATATGTCCAAAGTACAACTTTTACATTTTAAAGTTTCTGATATATGTCTAATTATTATTTGTTAAAAAATCAGAAAGTAGCACTTCATTTTGAGTAAGTCCATTACACTGAAATCTCCTTCAAGTTTTCATATTCAGTTTATGTCCTGCAGTCCTGTTAAGGAAAGCAAAGATCAATTCCTCGACAAAGCTTTCCAGGTGACCTCAACATTTCCATTTCACAGAACGCTAAAATCTAAACCGGGACTGTCTCAGTCCTACAGGCAGGTTGCCAGGCATCAGTATACAATTAGAATGAACATTTTATAACCCCCATCTTCAGTCCCTCCCAACCCACGCAGAGCCTCATGCCTCTTCCCAAATCTCAGTAACCACATCTTTCCATGACGCTGGCCAAACTCATACCAGGTTTTAGACACTAGAGAATGAAATGAGCTCATCCACCAAAAATTAGACTTTAAAAAGTTTGGCATTGGTTATCCCACTCACCCTCTAACCGACTTAGGTGGAAGGAGGGAGTGTCTGGGCGTTGGAGGCCGATGCAGAGGAAGTCTGGGACTGCCGGCAACCACAGACGTGGGCCTCCTTGAAGCTAGGGGAAAGGTTCTTAACAGTGAAAAATTCAGCTTCCGGGAGTCAAAGGGGCAGACCTTGGAAATCTGGCCCCGACAAGGGAAGACTTGAAAGCTTTAAGAAGTTCAGTACCTTAAGATCTCCAAACTCAAGCAAGGAGAGGAAGGGAGGGAGCAGAACAAGGGGGTGGAAAGTGACCCGGACCTGCAGCCCAAGATGCACCCCACCCACCCGGCGGCAGGGCGGCAGGAGGGGCGCGCGCGAACTAGCGGGAGCACCCGGCGGGTGCGCTGTTTTTATCTCTGTAGTACTCCGAAAAGGGCAAGAAGGAAAAGCTTCAATGGTTAAACCGCCCTAAGTAATTCAAATTGAAACAAACAAAGAAAAAAAAGGAAAGAAAAGAAAAGGAAAAGAAATCGCGTGATCAGTCGTCACTTAAATACAAATATACTTACAAAAATCTTACACAGGCTATTTACAATCATAAAAGCGTACAGTCCAGGTACCAGGGGGAGAGGTCGGTCCATCCCCCCTCAGGCAGTTGGGCCCTGGAGTTCCTTTGCCCCCAGGGACGGAAGCTTTTGCAGGAGCTATGGTGTTAAAAAGAAGCCTGCGAAAGTGTCTAGTCAAGTGAGGAAGCATAGAGCAGCCAGGGTTGGCCAGGATTCCATGGGGAAAGGTTTTGGAAAGGTAGCTGGGCCCGGGCCGAGGGCTGGGAACGGGCTGAGCGAGCCCCCAGGTCTCAGACGGTGGTCTCCCCCTGTTTGCTGTTGGTGAGTCTCGTGTAAAACTTCCTCCAGGAGTTAAGGGTCTTGCCAGACCAGATCCAGAAGCCTGACGTGATGCCCACGATCAGCGTCATAAGATACTTAATCATGAAGACTGTGAAGTCAGGGCTCATGGGCGGGTATGGCGGGGGGCCTCCGCCGGCCTGGAGATGGGGGCAGGGGATGGCGTAGCTCTTGCAGCTCTGGGCCACCCAGCTGCGCTCCCACTGGTCCCGGAAGGCCTGCTCGTAGAAGTAGCAGGCGATGACGATGGTGGCCGGCACCGTGTAAAGCACACTGAAGACGCCGATGCGCACCATGAGCTTCTCCAGTTTCTCGGTCTTGGTGCCATCGTGCTTCATGATGGTGCGAATGCGGAAGAGCGACACGAAGCCGGCCAGCAGAAAGGACGTGCCGATGAACAGGTACACGAAGAGAGGCGCCAGCACGAAGCCCCGCAGCGCGTCCACATTGTTGAGCCCCACGAAGCACACCCCGCTCAGCACGTCGCCATCCACCTGGCCCAGCGCCAGGATGGTGATGGTCTTGATGGCCGGCACGGCCCAGGCGGCCAGGTGAAAATATTGCGAGTTGGCCTCGATGGCTTCGTGGCCCCACTTCATGCCGGCCGCCAGGAACCAGGTGAGCGACAGGATCACCCACCAGATGGAGCTGGCCATGCTGAAGAAGTAGAGCATCATGAAGAGGATGGTGCAGCCCTCTTTCTTGGTGCCCTGCGCCACGGTGCGCGCCCCGTCCTCGGAGAACTTGTCGTTACACACCACCCGGTCCTCCAGCAGGAAGCCGGCGATGTAGGCCACGGCCACGGCCGTGTAGCAGCCCGACAGGAAGATGATGGGCCGCTCGGGGTAGCTGAAGCGCCTCATGTCCACCAGGTACGTGAGCACCGTGAAGAGCGTGGAGGCGCAGCACAGCACCGACCAGATGCCGATCCAGGTGCGCGAGAAGCGCAGCTCCTCGGGCCCGAAGTACATGAGCCCGTACACCTTGGTCGGCTCGCAGGGCGCGCCGCAGTCCTTCTCCCCCAGGAAGTGGTAGTTGAGGTAGGAAGGCACCTTGAGGGCGCGCGGGCAGGAGAACTTGCCGCGCTCCGACGCGCCGGAGCCCCCCGGGTAGCCGCCGCGGTGCCCCCCACCGCCGTGCTGGGGGTTGCTGGTCCAGAACTCGGGCAGCAGCGAGGGCGTCGGCGTGCCCTTGTCCGAGGTGTTCTGGCCCACGCACAGCTCGCCCGCGCCGTGCACCGGGAACTTCTCGCACTTGAGCGTGTCCGGCCACTGGAAGCCGAACTTGTTCATGAGCGCCTCGCAGCCCTGGCGCGCGCGCTCGCAGAGGGAGCGGCAGGGCGGCAGCGCCTGCTCCAGCACCGTGCACACCGGCGCGTACATGGAGCACAAGAAGAACTTGAGCTCGGCCGAGCACTGCACCTTCACCAGCGGGTAGAACTGGTGCACCTCGAGGCCCGCGTCCTCCTGGTTCGTGTGGCCCAGCAGGTTGGGCATAATGGTCTGGTTGTACGCGATGTCCGTGCACAGCGGGATGGAGATGGGCTGGCAGTAGCCGTGGTCCGGGATGGAGATGCCCCGCTCGCCGTTGTATTGCTGCCCGCTCTGTTGCTGCTGAGGCGGCGGCGGCGGGGGCTGCTGACCTGGCCCGGGCCCCTGGCCCGCCGCCTGCGCCCGGACCCCAAGCAGCAGCGGAGCTTCCAGCAGCCAAAGCAGCAGCAGTAGCCAGCGCGCCAAGCGCCCGGAGCCAGCTGGGGGGCGGCGGCGGTGGCCAGAGTCCCAGCTCCCCTCTGCCACCGGCCCCGCCGGGAGCGCCCCGGCACAAAGTTCCCAGCTCCCGCCGCCGGCGGCCCGGGACTTCTTAGGCGCCTCCTCCTCAGCCATACTTTTTCAGCTCCTTTCTTGGCGCCGCTCGGCTGGGGTGGGTGCTGGCGCGGCGGGCGGCGGCTCCCCCTGCGGCCGGGGAGATCTCCTCCGCGCCGGTGCCCTCCGTCGAGCCCGAGCCGCGCTCGGCCCGCTCCCCCGTCTCCCGCTCTGCGCCCCGCAGCCGCCGCGGAAACTTGCGATTCATGAAGCGCGGGCGGCGGGGAGAGCCCGGGTGGCTCGGGCGCGCCGGGGTCGCGTCCCGCCTTCCTGGCCCTCGGCTGGCTGGCTCCCGGCTGGCGGCGCCGCGCTAGTGGCCGCGGCCGGGTAGAGCGCGCAACTCTCGGCAGCCCAGCGGCCTCGGCTCCCCCCAGCGCCTCCGCCTCCTTCTCCGCCGCCGCCGCCTGACCATTTGTGTCAATCCCTCAACTCGCTAGCTCTCCTCTCCCTCGCGCGCCCTCGGACCGGTTTCCAGGCGCCCCGCAGTCTGTCTTTCACCAGGAGGGAGGAGCCTTGAAACCGACACGGACCTGGAGGCTCAGGGACCGTCGCCCAATCGTGGCTCCGGCTTCCCGGCGCAAAGGGCGCCCGCCGCCTTCTTCCCCCAGTGAAAGTCGGCGGCGCGCGGGAGGAGGGGGAGGCGGGAGGCGGGAGGCGGGAGGCGGAGGAAGTAGTAGTGGCAGAGGCACCGCTCAGGCACAAAGAGTGGGTTTGCTGTGAAGCGGGACAGGCTCGGTTGCTTTTACTTTTAAGGAAGAAAGGGAGAGGACAAGTAGGAGAATGGTCCCATATGCTGCTGGAGATAATGAATAGGAGTTGGCGGACCGCGGGACTTAGCTTTTCTTTTCATTTATCCATTTTCATGTTTTTAAAATCCTGCTCTTAACGCTGGTGACAAACGGCAAACCGAGCGAGGCGCTCAGAACAGATGCCTTTGACTTAAGGAGCGCACGGCTTCCTTTGAGTTTATGTCTGTCGAGTTTTTGTGTAAATGTTACCCTAATAAACCCTGGAGCTCTCGGGCTGGGCTGGGCGGGCTTTGGATCCCCCAGGGAGCAGTTCTCGGATCGCTGTAAAAATGAAAACAAACAAACAGCACACACACAAAAACAACAACAACAGCAAAAACTTGGATGGAATTTTAAAATTCAAGCCAGATGCGCCGCCTGCTACTATTCTTGTAGTCAAACTCCCTTTTCTCCTCTTTAATCAAGTCAGAAACAGAAGCAAAGGGAAACTACCATTAAATATGCAGAGAGAGAAAAGTTGAGAACCCCCGCCCCCTGGCCCCCAGCTTCCTCGCAGCCCGGGATCCCAGAGGTGGCTCCGAGCTGGGCTGGCGGCCAGCCTGGGCCCTGGAGAGCTACTGGGAGCCTCCCAAAGCCCAGGCCGCCCATGGCTCTTGAGGGAACTTCTGGGAGTGTTAGGCCCGGGCCAGTTAGGTGCCAGAGGCTGGGCTGCAGAGCTGGGGATGCCAGTTTGGAAAACAAACAAACAAACAAAAAAAAACAAGTCTGAAAGCTAAAAGCAGACGGCATATCCCCTTCCTCATTTCAAACAACACAATCCATCTCAGCTGACTTACATTCTTGTTTTCTGTGTAAGGTTTTTTGGTCCCCCCCCACCCAAGTGGTTTGACTACATGACTCAGTTTTATCAATCAAGTGCCATTGTATTATTAATCCTACCTAGGATTGTTGGCCTATGATTAGGCTCTCTCGGGATACTTTTCTACCATTATTTTCTGGCTTTTGCTTATCCATTTATTTGTCTAAGTAGTTCTAACCAAGCACCTATTATGCTGTAAGCACTGTTAAGTAGAAGAGTACAGAGGTCAACAAGAGGTGGCCCAGCCTTACACAAGGGCAGAGTACTATGGGGACACAGACCTGTAGATGTTATTTGAGGGCCCATCTCAAGCTGAAGGAGCAGGTGGGAAGCAGCCAGGCTGTGGAAAGGGTAGGGAGGGTTCTGATGGAGAGGTGAGTGGAAGGTGCAAAAGACAGGAGGAGCTCAGAAATGCTTAAATTGCTCAAAGGGTGGGATGAGTGTGTGTGTGTGTGTGTGTGTGTGTATGTGTGTATGTGTGTGTGTGTGTGTGTGTGTGTGTGTGTGTGTGTGTGTGTTTAGGGGGAGGGGAATAAGAGTGGCTGACATATTTTGGGGAAGTCAGGAGAAAGTTTTAGTCCATGCTAAAAAAGTTTGGGCTTAATTATACAGACAGACAATAGGGAGCTACTAAAGGCCACGTCTCCCCCACATCAGCAAGGGATGGCTATAAGATGACTGTGAGAGAGGGAGCCAGGGGCACACTGTCACCAAAAAGCGTGAAGATTAGTCCACACATGAAGGTCACTACTTAAGATGGGTGTCCTTGTTAGCTAGGACCTGGGTTTCAAGGTCTGGGCAGTTCTTACTGAATGCTGTTCTTGCTAAATGCTAAAATATAGCACAGTATTTTGCAGACGCAGCTGTAACTGGATGAGCTCCACCAGAACCCCACCAGGTAAGTGTAGTAACTGCAAAGAAGGAATCGAAATGTAATTGACTAAATAGTATATATTTAGAGGGAAAAACTTGAGAACCCCCTTCAGAGAGACAGCTTTGGATGTGAATTCCCTGTTTACTTGCTGCAAGTAAATAAAACTACCTAACTACAACCGCTTCTCATCCTTTAATAGAACACCTCAGGTGGCAAACACCTTGAGTTTGGCAACGTTACTTGAACTACACATTAACAGGACACTGTGAATTTCATCACCATGCATGTTGGTGTCTCTAAAGAATGTGTAGTCATATCTTTACCTGTTAAAACAAAATGACACTGCTCCAGCTATAATATATATATATATATATTTGTTCCTCAAATATTCATAAGTTCAGTAAATGCATAAAATATATATTTGTTTTAAAGTGTTCCTGGCCCTGGCCGGGTGGCTCAGTAGGTTGGAGCATCATCCCATACACCAAGGACCAAAGCAGTTAAGTTGTTTGTACGAGGTCCTATAGCCAGTAAGTGCCAGGGTATGCTTTGTGCCTGACCAAAATCCATGGACTTCCATTGGGTGAACATGTCCATTCCTGAAAATTATAGGAGAAAATTTGGTTTTGGGGTGTAAGTCGTGGCAGTTCCTCGGTATTTAACACAGTTTTCTACACTTGGATAGAGATGGTAGGAGTGTCAATGCTTGGGACTGACGAGTTAGACTAGCATTTTCCAAATTGTATTTTGTGAAATGCCATAGGTTCCCTAAAGGTGTTCTGTGAAATAAATTTGTTCAAATAAGTTTGGGAAAAGGCCATACTCTTTGTCCTTATTGGAGACTCATGTGAGCTTAATAAAATCTCTGAGAAGTGGTAAGGTAAAGAACCTTTTTAAACGTTATCTTACGTATTTCCTGCATTTGAAATATACCTATGCACTTGAAAAGCACGCGCGCGCGCACACACACACACACACACACACACACACACTAAATATTTTGCTTGACACTCATGCAGTATGGAATACAGTTTGAGAATTGCTGGATTAAACCTAACATCTTGAAAGTAAACTTTATAAGGTTGGACTCTCACTTCTGTATCACTTTTGTGTGTTTGGAATGAAAAGTGAGAACTTGATCTACTCTGCTTTGAGTTTCTAACTCTTCTCTTTCCTAGTGGATTAGGGAGGTGATAGTGAGAGAGAATGCTTGGACTATGCTATTCCCTCCCTAGGAGTCTATTATGGAGGTGCTTTAGGTGTACTAGTAACTCTGCCTGAGCTTTCAGCATAGATCTCTACCTCATTTCTTCTTGAATTTCCAACCCAGGAATTTCTACATTAGCCAATTCTTATCTTCCAAAGCATCTGTATTCTTTGCTACAGTTGTAAAACCTAATGTCTTTTCTTACTTCATTGTTACACAAATCTGTTCTTGACATTGATGAGTTCTTGGATTCATTTACATACATCTTTTAAAAATACATATTGCTTTCCTTAAAACAACTTATCAAAAGAGATTGTAAGTTTGATTATCTTGACTTTTATCTCACACGCACTTCTGGCTGATTCATATCAAGATCCTAAACTAACTTATCTTTTGAGAGTCAGCTATAATTTGTTAGAATTTACATATTAAACATGAAAAGAGTCAAAGATTTAATATGGATGGGTATGTTCACTAGGTCTTAATATGAATCAGGATTACTTATACACAGATCTCAGAAAACACATTTAAAAAATAGAAATATGAAAGGAAAAAATATCACCACCATCACTAAATTATCCTCAACAAGGTAGGGTAATAATTATCCAAATTTTTCTTGTAATTCAAAGGTTAACTAGAGAAGATTTTTGCTAAAGCTATTACTTAACCCTCAGTGCCTCAAAAAGACTAGAGGTAAAGAACTATCTCATGACTCTGCTTTAATTACTTCTGTTGTTGTTATGCAAATGGAAATAGTATATATTATCTGGGAAACCTTTTGCAAAACATACAGGCATTTGTATTGGATTTAAAATATAGTCCTTCTGTGAGGCCCTGGGAAAGAAATATAGATGATCCCTTGTAAATTAAAACCTTATGTTTCATGAGCTTAAAGAGGCCTCTTTGATTGGCTAAGATATGAGGAACTGAGTTTGGAATCATTTGGTGCAGAAAGAAGTTTTTAAGAGTACAAGTAAAATTTGTGCTTCTATGAGTGAGCTTTTCTGCTCTACCGTCTGCTCTACCGTCTGCATGACTTGACATTTTGGAAATAAAGTTATACAGCTTTTAAAATCAGAGTCTGATTGGGTTTTTTTTGTTTGTTTCTTGCTTTAACCCGAAATTCTCTGGCTGAAGGTAACATGGAAAAACCCACAGTTTCTAAAGTACAGTACAAATTCTTCTTAAATCAATATCTTTGGCATTATGTTTAAGAACAAATGAAACATACAACCTGGCTTTGCCACTTCAGATCTGACAACATTTCTTTGGCCAGGGTAACGAAAAACACCAGGTTATTTATACTTTATTAGACTTCTAAGGCTGAAGAGATCTTAATACTTTAAAGAAATTAAAAAAGAAAACAAGCCATTTTTCCCTCTTAACGTTGTCATCAGACTTTAGTGTGTGGCTTCATCTTCACAACAGTGCTGATGAAGGTAGAAAGAAGATGATGCTGAGTTAACACACAGAAATGGAGGTTTAAGAAGTTGACTTGATCACGCAGTTGGGGGAACCAGAATTCAAATGTAGTTACCACATGAATTAACACAGCAGCTCACCAGAGGAAACAAGATAAATTACACAGCTTTTGTAACTTAAAGAAAGTTTTTTAGGAAATGCAAAATTCTGCCTTGCTGTGAGACAGTTATTTTGGATGTTTTAGTATAAAGGAGATCAAGCATCAAAGGAGATTGTCAGATGGCCATTTCTTATACCCACCCATGATATAACGATGCATCTTAGATGGGGGAAGGTGTTTCTGTAAGGAGGTAAAAAAAAAAAAAAAAGGACTCAATGCATAGCTTTCCTGTGATTCAATTTGGTCCAAGATGAGGTTTTTTTAGGGGATGTACTTGCTATTCTTACTTACATTTATTCTGGTCATTGACATGTTCTTTGGGGCTGGGTTAAAGGCACCAT